ACTAACGCTCTAAAAATGAATATTTCAGCCGCAGTAAAGAATCAACGTTGGCGGATTTTGGTTCTTGACATCCTTTACGATCGGTTACGATGCCTAGAGTACGGAGACCTGTACGATTTCGTCAACTTAGTGAGTTTGATAGGGGCCGTATAGTGGGACTTCGGGAAGCTGGACTTTCTTTTCGGGCAATTGCAGTTAGAGTGCAAAGAAGTGTAGACACTGTGGTTAGGTATTGTCAGGTATGGCTTCGAGAAGGCCGTACGCAACGAGCAAGGGGCACTGGACGCCGCCGTAGAACAACAGACCGTGAAGATCGCGGCCTAAGATTATTGGCCTTAAGGGACCGTTTCTCCACTACCAGGTCCATTGCAAATGACTGGTTTGCAGAACACGGAAGACCTATTGGCATGCGAAGTGTTTACCGACGAATGAGAAGTTTTGGCTTGTTTTCATACCGGCCACACTAGGCCCTCCCTTTAACTCGAGAACACTGACGTAATCGCCTTGAGTGGTGCAGACAACGGTCACTCTGGGATCAGGAATGGAACAGTATTGTCTTTAGTGACGAGTCTCGATTTTGTTTAGGCATGCACGATGGTCGTGCCAGGGTTAGAAGGCGACGTGGTGAAAGGAGGAATCCACAGTTTTTTGTTGAAAGACATGTTCATCACTCTGTTGGAGTTATGGTTTGGGGCGCTATAGCTTATGGTTCCAGGTCACCTTTAATCTTCATCAGAGGTAACATGAACGCGCAGCGTTACATCCACGAAGTTCTAGAACCCCATCTTTTACCCTATCTTGACACCCTGGCAGATCCAACTTTCCAACAAGATAATGCCCGACCACATGTTGCAAGAGTCACAATAGACTTCTTTCAACATAATGATGTCACATTGTTACCATGGCCACCAAGATCTCCCGACTTATCCCCAATTGAGCACGTGTGGGATATGATGGGTAGGAGATTGCTCAATTTGCAACGTCCTCCTCAGACTCTAGAAGCACTTCGAGAGGAGTTGGTGGTTGCCTGGAATGAGATACCACAGGAAGACATTGACCACCTGATCAGAAGCATGCATAGGCGCGTTGGAGAATGCGTAGCACATCAGGGTGCATCCACACATTATTAAAGGTCAAAGGGCTTTAAAGCAGTGCAATCATTTTGAAATTTTTATCATTTACTTATTATGCTTCATTAAGTACTTATACAAAATTTTATTAAAATAAAACCATTTAAACCGGGTGTTCGGATTTATATGTCACTTAGTATACTCGCAATTGCGGATCTTTTCAAGTGCCAATTTCTTAGTTATTTTAATGGGCAAGTTTGCTCCTACTCAGCCGACTTCGTATCTATTACCGTATCCGACTTCCCAATGGTGAAAGTCGAATTTGAAATTCCAGGTATACCTTGTTTCTAGCTAACGGGTTGAGAGCCTAGTGTCACTAACAGAAAAAACCTGCGCTTGGAAAAACGGACAATCGAATGTGGAACACAAAAAATAATCTAAGCTCCGGTTCTGTCTGGTGTCATTGCCGGCATAATATTCCCCATTGTCCCGTGCTGGGGGGCTAACGATAATGGTGGGAACCACCCCTACGTCATTTGTCCACGTCCGGGGTAACCTTGACGTCGCGACGGCGGGGACGCTCCCGACGACGCTGCATCGGATAAACGCATTAAGCGGACGATGATGGAAAAAGACATCGCTGCCGAAAGATAGATCCAGATCCTGAAAGGACAGACAGGAAGGATGAAAACATGTATCGGAGATAGGGGACTCTTATGGATTGCTTTCATGCATCCGTACAGGGCGTTTATTTTTCTTTGGGCAATCAAATTTTATTACAATAATCTGAGCTTACAAAATCAACAATAAATAAGAAAAATGGTTTCAAGAAGGTTTTACCTGCTATTAGTTCATAAAGATCATTTCATAAAAGTTAACATGAAAAACAGAAGTTAAATGAATTAAGTCAGTCAAGCACAGAATTACAAGAGTCTCCAGTCCCCACCTATTTGACAACGTTGCGAACTGGAAATTTCTCCGTTGCCTAAACGACCACAAGGTTGTGACCACAGCTGCGATGAGTACACGTAGATATTGAAAACATTTGTCATTCAAGTCTTACAGACAAATGTACAAGCCAGTCTACGTGTGAAATCCAATTACTAGAATTATCTATTTAGAAGTGAATAAGTATTCAAGCTTCAAAAAATAAAAATATATCCTCTCCCACCGCCTGCAACCCTCCACTCTTCTTTATCCTCAAAAAAAAAAAACTCTAAAATGAGCAGTAGTTTCTGAAGAGTGAAAAACGTTTAACTGATTTTCAGAGCCTGCAAAGCTCATTGCCATATTAGCAAGTTTGTGTCAAAACGTCAATAAAACCGAGCAGTACGGAAAATTATTTGACTTTCTTCCAGATGTTAATTCTTGATGATAACTGAAAGAAAGTGGGTCTGCTTCTATTACCATTCGGGGAGCTATATTTCTGGAAGCTGACGAATAGTCTCTCATAGACTCATTCTCGGTAACAATAGAAAAAGAAAAACGCAGCAGTCTCACCGTTGACTAGCAGTCTCAACTCTAAAGACAAGGTTAGCTTTGTGATGGAACTCTAATGATATGAAGATCCCAGTAATATATAATTTTGCCCAAATTGGGTGCATTCACAAACTTGCTTGACACATGTCACCAGCTATCAGAATTTGGGATCACTCCGTAACGAAGAGAACCATGGCCACTTTCTGTCAGTGATCATATTCTTTCGTTTTCAAGAATTATAGGCTCAGATCACAGACCTGTGAAGTTTGTCTTCCACATCACTCCTTATAATAAATACTATATGAGAGTAAGCTGCTCCTCACCCGTAGGTGTTATGTGAAATGCGATCCAATCGCCACACTTGTCAGTTTAGACCATTGATTCCCAAAGTGGTCTATATCGACCCCTAGGGGTCTACGTCAGCGAAAAAAAATTTGGGGGTCCATGAAATGAATATGGGGGTCCACGATAGTGGATCTCAACACATACACACATACACTGATAGTACCTAGTTACTTACATCATACTATCTTATAATATCAAAACATATACATTATTTATAAAAGTACCTATGAAGTAAAAAATTTATAGTTTATAAAGTTTATAAAATTGTGTAAGTTGTAGGATGTTGGTAATCGCTTTGTGATCGCAATACATTTTGAACTTGTAAAAACCTGAGAGTCGCAGTCTCAGAGCTTCGCTACCTTGCACTGACTTGTTCAATTCGTCACTCTATAAATACGAATGTGGGACAAATACGTTTATTCGTTTCCTGAATCTTGAAAAGGAAAGTGCTAAGAAAATATTTAAAAAAATATAAACAGATAGTATATCACACAAATTATAGTGAGTCAGTGTTATTTTGTTTGAGAGTGCTGGAGAAAAGTAAGTACATTATTTTTTATTAAATTTTAGTTTTGTACTCGTAGTTAGCAAAGATAGATAAATTACGCCAATCATGACTTTAGTTATTAGTAGTTAAATATTCAATCATGCAAAATTACACGAGTACTCCTCAATAGTTTCTTTTTGAAAGTTTTAGCAATCGGTAATATAATTACAGTGCAATCTCCGTAATTCGAGCTAATTGTTGCAAGAAGATGTTCGAATTATGGAATGTCTTCGGAAAAATCAAAAAATATTTTAATATACATCTGCTGGATTTTCTGTCTTATTTAAATAATTTAATTTTGCCCACAGATGACTGATGCTATGTCCGAATCTAAAAAGAAATGTAGACAGTACAGTGTTGATTATTTGAAATTTGGCTTCATTCCATCATTGCCGGACAAACAATCGCCTATGTGCCTTTTATGCAACAAAGTTTTGGGCAATGACGATATGAAACCATCTAAACTGCAAGATCATCTGAGAAGATGCTACCATGATAAAACAGAGAAAGATTTGAAATACTTTCAAACACTCAAAGATAAATTTCAGAAGAGACCTACACTGGACAGAATTTTCGCTTCGACGTCACAAAGAAATGATGATGGTTTGCGGGCGTCTTACAATATCTCGTTACTCATAGCAAAATCCGGAAAACCGCAAACTATCGGAGAGAAGTTAATTTTTTCAGCCGTTGAAGAGGTTATAAAAACTGTTTTATACAAACCTGCATCTGATATCATTAAAAGAATTCCCTTAAGCAACAATACTGTTGAAAGACGTATTGATGAAATGAGTTCTGATATTGAAAGCTTCTTATGTAATTATTTGCAAACGACCCATTTTTCTATACAACTGGACGAGTCAACTTGACCTGATAATGCAGCATTATTATTGGCATAGGTTCGTTTTATTATGAATCAAGAAATCTACGAAGAACTGCTCTTCGCAAGAACTTTGATAACCGACACTAAGGGTGAATCAATATTTCATGTTTTGAAGGATTACTTCATTGAAAAAGCAATTCCTTTATCAAATATAATGTCAGTAGCTACAGATGGAGCACCTGCCATGGTTGGACGTTGATTTATAAGCTATTTAAAACAAAATGTGTCAGGGGTGTTAGCAATACATTGCGTCATCCATCGACAACATTTAGTTGCTAAAAATTTGAGTGTTAGATTGCATAAATCACTTCATTTAGTCATTGATGCAGTAAACCGAATCCGAAGCAACGCGTTGAATATGCGGTTATTTGCGCAGTTGTGTGAAGAAAATGACGAACACTTTCATCAATTATTACTCCTTCACACTGAAGTACGCTGGCTGTCGAAAGGCTTATGTTTGACAAGATTTTTTGCACTTTTTGAGACTATTTTAGAATTCCTGGATACTAAAGATAAAATTTTGAAAGAAAATTTAATGAAGAGGAAAACAGACATCGCCTATTTAACAGATTTGTTTACGAAATTTAATATGGTTAGTTTGCAATTACAAGGCTACAGTTTAAATTTGATTAAAACAAAGTCTATCTTATCAGCGTTTCTTGCCAGAGTTAAACTAATGAAGCAAAATATTGGACGGGGCGAATTTTCTCAGTTCCCCAATGTGACACAGACAAGCTGCCAGGAAGACGACGTTTCAACTTACGTTCAACATTTAAATGCCCTCTATTCAGATTTTGAATCTAGGTTTGAGGATATTTTGACTATGGTAATACCACCGTGGATAATTAATCCATATGGTGACATAGAAGAAGCGAATGTCATAATACAAGAGGAACTGACTGAACTAAGTACAAAGAAGAACTTAAGGTTCAGTTTAAAAACGGATATCAGCAATTCTGGCTGCAAAACAACATACCCGTTACTTATCCCGTATTATGGAATATAGCGAGGACATTTTTAATTTCCTTTTCATCGTCATACCTAGTGGAAAGGGAGTTCAGCGCTGTTACCAATCTCCTAACGAAAAAAAGAAACAGACTGGACATCATTAGCCGAGGAGATTTAAGATTAACCCTTACAAAATTGACGCCAAATGTTGATAATTTATTATTAAAGCATCAGGTTCATCCTTCTCACTAAAAATATTGACTTATTGCTTATGTTATTTTATTTATAGTTTATTTTATGTTTATTGGTGTCTGACCAATAAATGCCCGCATTGGGAATAAGTGCCCGCAATAATTTTTTTAAAGAACCCCCCTTATAGAATTTTTTTTTAAATTATTCTAATTCAAGGATAGGTACACACTAAAATTCGTTAATTTTTTGCCTATTTTTAGATAACTTAAACGTCTCTGTCGGCGTTGATTTTGTGATTATACAGATTTGCTTGTCACCATGTGAATCAGCAAGCTTGCCGATTTTGAAGTGAGCTCAGCGATTTGGTGTTTAAGCGCAAAAAAGTTCGATCTGATGAAATTCACCGGTAGCTGATTGGAAGTAGATTATTGAAGCTTAGGCGCGCTATTCAAAACCGCGCTTTCTAGCGGCAACGTTCTGCTTCACGATGACGTTCGGCCTTAATTTGTCCAAGAGCACAGAGAGAAGTTTTGTTGATCTTTTTTCGAAACTTACGGAATTTCTTGATGGAAAGCACTTGAAAAATGTTTACATGTTGAAACAAACGATTACTAAATGGCTCAACGGTCAGACGGCAGCGTTATTTGACGACGGGTGCCACGATTTGATGAATGCTTAGATATTTAAAGCGACTATGTTGAAAAGTGAAAAAAACGTTCATGATTTAGTTTGTGATAAAATGTCCGTTTATAAATAAAGCTTTCTCTGACTTCTCTACAAAATGGCTCTACCTTGAAAAATGACACTCGTACGTAATAAGGGTGGCGATCTAATTTTATCAAACCAAAACTTGTAACAGGTTTTGCTTAATAACTTTATAGCGGTGGAGATATTCTGGTATTTAGACTTTACCTTATAGGCTACTGTTTTCCCAAATTTCCTAAAGTTACCCGAAAACCAGTGGCAGTAGCATCAAAGTCAAGTACAAAAAAGTTAATAGAAGTCTCACTTATTGTTATTTAAATTAAGGAATTTCACGGTTATACACGTAAAATACTGCATCAGACAATGGAAGGCTTCACCCAATTTATCCGATCTATTATAGCAGTAATTGCCTACGCTTTTGTCCACACAGACTTCCTATAAACCGTGGACGCCACCGAATCGGTGACTTGCACTTCTTCGCTGAAACCATCCGACATGGCTCCGAGATTAAAAACAAATACCTGAGGATAAAATAATGCCTTCTACTCCAGGAAGTATCTTTGCATCTGATTGTAAAAATAATCTGATTCGAACGTACTCTCATGGAGGTATTGCAATCGCAAGAAATTTCAAAGATGACATATTTTTTGGATGTTACATGATATCACGGAAACACTAAACACCATGTGACTCATTTTCGTCGGATTGAGTGTATTTCGGTTTATATGTCATAACTTGCGAAGTACCGCTCGAATTTTAATGCAATTTTCTCATAAGGCTACTAATATGCCAAGAACGAAACAGCTTTGTAGTTCTTGAAAATCGGTGCAGTGACGGAGTAGACAGACAAAAAAAATAAAATCGCTAGATCATCGTCTTTTGACGTTTCAGATGCTCCTGCTAATCTTCACAAGAAATCTTGTAGGAGTTAAAATTTGGGGCTGGGGTTTGGGGAGGGTACATTGTCGGTTTGGAAGAACACTGTCACAACTCAAAACTCTAGTAGAAACTGTCACTTCGCACTATATATCGCAGGAAATGCTTTGATTTATGTTTTCTGTTTAAAATGGTGAATGGTGTCAGATTGCCCAGAGGTGCTTGCACAAATAAAGCTTTATGTTAATGAAAGACTAACTCGCAATACAGAATTGTTTACAATTCCACATCATTTTACCAATTATAGTATGCATGAACCAGTTACAAAAACTTAGATTTGGCAACGTTGCGGTATGCTACAATATAGATATTGTATATATATATATATATATATATATACAGGGTGACTTCGAAGTTGAGTCATTTATTTTAACAGTGAGTAGATCTGATCAAAAGAAATGTTTTTTTCCTTTACCATTTTCCTGGTAAAATTAAAGTAACAAAGTTATAGCCCTTTGGAAGTTTGAGTACCGCCCTGTCTCAATAACAATATTATGTGGTCGTGTTTGGCGACAATGGATATAATCCGCCGTATCGGTTCATCGCATCGGAAACAAAAAAGCGAAAGAATTTGGAACGATGTTTTTACAGGTATCTCATTCATTTGTATACAGTTAGTGTCAGTGAATAGTGGTATGTGTTGCGTGGCTCAAACGAAATAAAAAATGGCACATGTTTATGCGGATCGGTTTCCCAATCGAGTGCAACCAACCCCTCGTGCCTTTGTTAATGTAGTACAACGGGCTTGTGAATCAGGTGACTTAAGACCTCACAGGGGACCTCACGATCAAATACAGGTCCGCACTGAAATACTTGTCGGGAGGATACTTTATAAAACAAGGTAAAAAATTTTTTTTATTTTTTTTTTATTTTTACACACATATTTTGGTTTATCTTCCTTCTACAATCATTATCTGAAAATTAATGACTCAACTTCAAAGTCACCCTGTATATATATATAGAGAAAATCATCATGCGGGGAAAGGTATATAACAAAAATAGGATAGGTAATCCGAGCGATACGTATTTCTGCTGGTTGGCTTCATCAGGCTCGAAATGAATGCACATATGCAACTACAAAAGTAGAGACACATGCCCATACATCCGGATACGGGTGTAACCTAAGGAAACGAAGATGGAAAGGAAAAAAAGACACACGAAGTCCACAACAAGAGCCAACCTACACATTGTAGTATAAAATGGCTATACGACCTCGAGTTTTCAAGGAGACGTCTAACCACAACCACGCGGCTGGTTATAGCCACTTGCTGTGGTACTTCAAGCCCAAAGGATCTACAAAGAGAAAATCACCATGCGGAGAAAGGTATATATAACAAAAATAGGAAAATAATGGGCAAAATCCGCAAAAAGTGGATTCCAGCAGAAATAGGATAGGTAACCCGAGCGATACCTATTTCTGCTGGTTGGCTTCATCAGGCCCGAAATGAATGCACATATGCAACTACAAAAGTAGTTGTGGTTATTTGTCGCCTTGAAAATTCGAGGTCTTCTAGCCATTTTATACTACAATGTGTAAGTTGGCTCTTGTTGTGGACTTTGTGTGTCTTTTTTTTCCTTTCCGTCTTCGTTTCCTCAGGTTACACCCGTATCAGGATGTGTGGGCATGTGTATCTACTTTTGTAGTTGCATATGTGCATTCATTTCGGGCCTGATGAAGCCAACCAGCAGAAATACGTATCGCTCGGGTTACCTATCCTATTTCTGCTCGAATCCACTTTTTGCGGATTTTGCCCATTACTTTCCTATTTTTGTTATATATATATACATATTATGTATATAAAGCACATAAAAAATATTTCTATTCAACTTTAGTATGTTAAGTTTTCAATATAAGTAGGTTAGGTGTCACATGAACGTTTTTTGTAGGTATGTAAGTAGAAACAGTGAATAAATAAATATATAAATCTGGTGGTTACTCAATATCTTCAACTTGTGTCATCATTCCTGATAATATCGATTATTTAGAGCAGGATCGACACATATTTATGAAAGTCGGTCCAGTGGCGGTAGAGCGAGGGGCTTATAAAGTAAAAAATGAAATCCTTCAATCTTCGTTTTTGACGTTGATGGATTCCTCACCATTTCCAGAAAAAATTCTGTAGAGGTAAGTTATTGAGGGTTGGGGGTTGTAGTGGGTGCGGAGGATATACTTCATTTTTTGAAGTTAGCATATATGTAGGGATACACTTCCAACCTCGGTACGTCACTGCACCTTTTAAAGATATTTCACGCATCATAGATTTTCACGTACAGGACAAAATACCTTTAGAAAACGAAATCATACTTCATTGCTCCATAAACAAATGCGTTAATAGTAGAAAAAAATAAATTCCTTGTTTTTACATTATCTGCAGTGAACACAATACACGTCTGAATATAAGCACTTTTTTTATGAGGGACAAAAATATGTAGACAAATTAGTTGAGTAGAGTCAGAAGAGGGTTAGTTTGTGTTCATCAAGTATTGTGGAATAAGTTGAGTGATTTTAAGACCAGGTCGCGTGGTACAGAAATTTCTTTCGATGTGAAAACTAAGATCATTGAGTTATACAAAGGTGGTCAACGTCAAGTCGGCATTGGCAGAAATTTGAAGCTGAAGCGTAAAGCAGTTTAGGCAATATTGAATAAATATAAAAGAAAAGGTATTTTGGAAGCCCCTAAGAGAAGTGGTCGGCCTAGAAAACTAAATGCTAGATCAGTTAGATTAATAAAAGTAATTTCGTCCAAAGATCCTTCAAAACAGCAAGACAAATAAAAGACGAAATCGAGACAAAAGGAATTGTCAGTGTTTCTAGGAAAACTATAAGTAGAAGATTAAATGATTTGAAGTTATTCGCAAGAGTAAGAAGGCGCTAATCTTTAGGAAAAACCGTAAGGACTGGAAGAGGGTTCGTTTCAGTGACGAATCCAAGTTCAATATGTTTGGATCAGATGGTGTTCATTACGTTAGATGTCCTAGTGGACAAAGATTGAACTCCAAGTACACTTTGCCCACTGTCAAACATGGAGGCGGGTCTGTCATGGTTTGGGGGTGCTTTTCGGGGTTTGGGATGAGACCTTTACATAGAATAGATGGCATTATGGATAAGTTTGTTTACACAGACATACTAAAGCATGTGATGTTACTCTATATGGAAGACAATATGCCGTCAAATGGATGGTATTATCGGTACGATTTGATTTGTTTGATTTCTCTATTAGGTAT